ACGTTCCCTCACGGACATTGAGTACGCGGACGATATTACTCTCCTTGTTTTAGATCCTTCCCGAATGCAAACTTTTTTAAGTAACCTAAATAGCTCTGCCGCACGGTTTGGTTTCACACCTGCACAGTATAAAGTGCTGCTACAAGGCCACACCTCATGCGTGCAAGTGAGCCAATCGATCGACGTGGTAGATAAGTTTGTTTACCTGGGCAGCCCTATAAGTCCCGGTGGACTGGCTGGAGATGAGATTATTTCTCGAATCGGAAAAACTAGGGCAGCTTTCGTGAACATCCGACACCTATGGCGCGGATGTGACGTCAGTTTGTCTGTCAAGAGCAGAGTTCACACCGCATTGGTGCGATCCATACTGCTTTGTGGTGAACAGTCTGACAACCATACTGCAGAAGATTTGGAACGAAAACAGAATACCAGCCGAGTGGTGCTCCCCAACGATCATCCCAGTTTTCAAAAACGGAGCAAGAACGTCATGCGAAAACCATCGTGGTGTCAGCCTTGTATCCGTCGTGTCTAAGGTGCTCTTTAGTATTATTTTGTGCAGATCGATGAATTATCGGGAGTGACAGCTTCGTGGGAATCAAGCTGTGTTTTGCCCTGGTTGAGGATGCATCGACTCTATCCTTACATTGAGACAAATTCTTGAACAGCACCGTTCTTTTCGACGTCCCACGCCGATCGGTTTTCTGGATTTGAAAGCTGTTTTTGAGTCTGTTGATCGTCGACAACTTTGGCCGTGTCTGGCGATCAAAAATGTTCCTCCCAAATTTCTCTGCCGTATAAGGGCACTGTATGCGAACTCCTGTGAGTGCGTGCGAGTATACGGGAAGCTCTCTTCTGAGTTCACCACATCCAGTGGTACAATACAATGCTGTCATCTTTCCCCTTCCCTCTTCAACTTTGTTATTGATATGCTGCTTGAAATTTCTCTGCCTACCTCCGGAACCTCGGGAGTTGAAATGCCCCGGGACGTTCCCTCACGGACATTGAGTACGCGGACGATATTACTCTCCTTGTTTTAGATCCTTCCCGAATGCAAACTTTTTTAAGTAACCTAAATAGCTCTGCCGCACGGTTTGGTTTCACACCTGCACAGTATAAAGTGCTGCTACAAGGCCACACCTCATGCGTGCAAGTGAGCCAATCGATCGACGTGGTAGATAAGTTTGTTTACCTGGGCAGCCCTATAAGTCCCGGTGGACTGGCTGGAGATGAGATTATTTCTCGAATAGGAAAAACTATGGCAGCTTCTGCGAAAATCCGACACCTATGGCGCCGACGTGACATCAGTTTGTCTGTCAAGGGCAGAGTTCACACCACATTGGTGCGATCCACATTGCTATGTGGATCAGAAGCGTGACACTACGCGCAGAGGACATACGTAAGATGTCAGCGTTTGACAATCGGTGTCTCCGAAGCATTGGTCAGGTCTGGTAGGATCATCGCATTAGTAATTGTGAGGTACGCCAAATGGTCTTAAGAAGAAGAAAATCTCCCGTGCTAGGTGAATTACTCACGCTTCATAGGTTACACTGGTTGGGTCATGTACCCCGCATGCCAGAAGATCGTCTGCCTCACAGAACTCTCTTTTCGTTCAGCCCTATGCTGAGTGAAAGCGACCGATAGGTGGACGGTGTATGACCTGGCAATGAAGTACGAAATCACTAACCAGTAAATTAAGTCGGGTGGGCATCTGTCGCCTCCCTGGATGGGGACCCCGGGACTCAAGTCACCAGTAGTTATTGACATTGGCAGAAATGGCCCAATCGCGCAGTCAGTGGCGCTCGTGCATCAAGGCTATCGCATTCAATGCGTAGCTATCCAGTTCCCGAACTAACCATACGCGCCATCACCTCAAAGTCTTCGCCCTATATCCCGCACTCTCCTACATCTCGTTAATCGAAACTGTAGCAGCTGGAACCAATGTGCCTATGGTACACGGTCTATAGCCGATAAACTGAACTGAATTGAAATTGACGATCTTTCGGCCAAATGTTGAAACGTTCGATCATCAGCATCAATGTCAGCACTTCATTTTCGATTTGCGTGTCGTTCTGTTGAGTATTCGATATACTGCGAATCGTATGGTTTATTGGCCTGCCTTCTTGAAATAGGATTGTTCTCAAACCGGATTGGCTACAGTTGCACTAAATGGGTATTTCCTACTGTGACCGTAGGGAGCTTGGCTCATCTGCTCGAATGCGCTTTGCCATTCGATAAGCCGGGTTTTTTTTACACAATAGTGCCACCTGATGGTGTGGTTGATTGATTATTGATAACATCGGTTGCAAAGAAACTGTGCCTTTTAGGCATTAGACAAGCCCAATTTAGTGTGCTGTAAACAGACAGGTGGCCAACCCTTGACTTGGCAGAGGAGTATGAAGGAGATCACGAAACGCTTGGGTGCTGCCGGTGCTACTCGCCTTCCAGGATGGGGACCGCGTGATCCTCACTATGCCTGGTTGGAGACACTACAAGATATGGCTGCCAACCGATGTCAGTGTCGTTCTTGTTGTTATTTTCTATCCAGATCGCCTGAGTGAGTGTCTGGAGTTATAGGCACGTCGGAATGATTGTGGTAAGCTAGCACTCAATCCCTTCCCCGTCCACCTTTATTGTTTTCTTTACAATAAGGCTTTCAAATAAATCATGGTTGTACGGCAGTGAAGTATCGGCGTTGAACACTGATGTCATGCTGTCCATGACGATGATGATGATGACCCGTCCTATTACCAACAGGTCCAGCAAAACCGATTGCCTATGTCGTGGCTGCTAAAGCAATAAACAACTCGTAAAGACGTCATGCGATAACGCTGGCTGTTTGAAATGTTAACGCCTGAGTGAAAAGACCCCATTCGACTAGTCAAAAGATGACACACGGCGAACCTATCCAACACAAAGGTTTTGGTCAGATCATGTGCAAAGTGTCATTTGAGCAAAAGGAGGTAATATGATCGATAATCAGCGAAATATACTCATTTGCAAAAAAAATTTGGTTTTACGGGAGACTCATCTGGAACCCAGCTGAATCACTCGTCAATGAGTTGCACATAATCGATAATCGCTCAGCTGTAACACCTTTTCGGAGCCTAGCTACCACGTCACCCGAAGGAAGAATGAGAGCTGGGATACTGCCAAGTTGCCCAAACCTAGACAGGGGAAGTCGATTGTTGTATCGTGCGGTGGCCGAGCTATTGGTTACGCCTGCACTAAGCACGCCAGACTGCGCGATAGGGTGAAGACAGAAAACTGGGGGGCACGGCTGTATTGCCAGGACAAAACGTAGAGCGTCTGCGTAAATATATAGGATGACTACTTGGCCAAATATGGCCGTTCAATTGTTCGCTTCGTACAGCCGGTGGTGGGGGTCCGGTCGTGAACATTCTCAGGCCCACTACGCTGGTCGTGTGTTTCTAAGCCGTTTGGTGAGAGCCGCCAACTCATCTACTTTCCGGGCGTGTCGCACCGATGATGGCCTTGGGGATGCGTCACTCTCTGCACATGTACTTTTTCTTCTGTCTGGGCGCGCCCTGACATCGAGAGGCAGAGATCGGATTCAAACCACGACCTTCCGGTCAGTAAATTCGCGCTCTAACCACTGAGCCATCTCGCCCCAGTAAAAGAAAGCCTATTGCGAGACCGCTGAACAACCCATGGACGCATCTCAAAACTGTCTTCAGAAATGAGAGTGGCCGAACTAATCTGAAATGACAAACCGCTGAGTCTCAATTCGCCTTGAGGGTACCAGCAGTAAACTCCCATGGGCTCGCTTGAGTTCACTCGGTACAACCAACCAAGTTATTCATACCTAGGTTTTAGCACCGCAGCAAACAAATCTGCCGGTACAGTCCAAGGTTTGCAGACATATAGCGGAAGAACATAAGATCAGTAGATATCCCCGTCATCTGAACGCCCCAGCTACTAGTGAAGGATATGGACCAGCAGATATAATTCATCTCGATGAAACTGGCTTATTTTTTCGCGAAGAGCCTACAGGCACTTTTGTGCAATCTGCCAAAACACGAAACGACCAAAAGAGTAGGACTCTATGTTGCATCACTGTCAGGGAACGGCTATCGCCTACAAGGCTTTACAATAAGTTGAATACATCTAACATGTATATACACTATGAAGTCAGTGAGAATTCTGAAACGCCAAAGATTTTACTCTAGAAACGGCTTCGAGAGCTCAGTGACAAGATGGGCGAAAAAGAGAAGAGTTCTAACGATATCGGAAAACTGTACCACACGCCCGTTTCGTCTGTTTATAAACCCATCTTCATGCAAAATAATCTAGTATGTACAGGTGGACTAGTGTGGACAGCTTTTGTTACAAAAGTCCCTTTCTAAAAATCAGCCCAAACCCGAAGTCTTTCTACACATTTTTTCCTCACCCATGCTTTCTTCACATGCTTCAGTTACTGGACGTCAACATATGGATCCATCTGTCTAGTGTGACAATACACATGTTTCGGTGATTGTGACTCCGGTAAACTAAACTCTATAGATCTACCGTGACTAGTGTGAGCACTAACTCCAAGACTTCTGACACAATCACATTTGATGAGCCTAGTACTTGAAGAGAACGGTAATTAAAACGTTTTCGGTGCAACATAAGCTTCTTTCTATATGATCTTTGAAACTCTGGAGGTGAAACGAAAACGATGAATACGTCAAGTAGGTGAGTCGGTTATAGCGTAGCACACTGCGATGTGGCTAACTTTCACGGCCCGAAAATGTTATACAGTAACACTGGAACATGCTTCCATGTAAAAAACTGACTACCGAAGGAAACGAAGGAACAGACGCTTTCTTTAAGATAAGAGAATAAGTATATCCTTTATCCTAAGTGTGAGGCCTTTTTGCGCGACTTCAGACGGTTGATAAGGCTATTTCTCCCACACGTGATAAGGTGAATTCTCACTTGGGGCGAAATATTTTCAAAGTTGAGGGAACTTCAATCTGACTACGAAGCAACCAACTCACCTGGCCCACATACGCTGCATCGTCTGGATCCCTCGAAGGCACAGGTTGGACGTCCCGATTACTGCTCAACAGATCGGCACCGGTGACATGACGGGGAGCATCTGTAGTACAGCAAACATCTAGCGTGAGCTCAACGGAGCATTGTTCACAAAACTCGCGACAAGGGCATTCGCGAAAGTAGGCCATTTTATCCACCACGCTATCGGAAGTCAAGGGGATGAGACCGACGCGCTGGGCAATAAATTCATCGTTTAGCATTGTGTTATTTTCTTCTATTTGCACCCAATCGATTGCCAGTGTAGGAACCTCCGCAATACACACGCGACGAATCGCATTGGCTACGCTCAAGTCTGTTTCTTCAATAATGAACTTGCAATTCTCATTGTTATAACTTGTCAACGTGACGATTGGCTGGTTAGCATACGGCATTTCTGAATAGAAAAAGTTAACGATAGTCAACATTACCGTTTCTTCAGAAAGGACTTGCCACATCAACAGAAAGCACCGTTATCTCAAAATTTCGCATTATATAAAGAAACGGAGTTAAAACAGCTTCCCGACCAACCAAAACGTAAAAAACACCCGTGATAAGGCAAAAAAGATAGAAATGAAAATGTTAGTGAACACGTTTCCAAAGGTTATAAAATGCAAAGAATAGGAAGCGAAAATACAGCAATGCCTAGATTAGTATCGGTATCGGTATGTACAGTGGTTTCGGTCCCCATTACATATGGTAGAAGGCTTCCTAGAATTGAAGGGGGACTGGTTACGGAAAAGAATAAAATTAGTAGGTGAATAAATGAGAACAGGCACATAACCGATACTTGTTGCGTGACACTGCCGTACAGGTGGGTACCTTAAGCCGTTGGAGCTGCTGGTCTCCAAAACGTCTTAAGCTATTGGAACTCAAGGTGATTGTCATCCGTTCGGTACCTGCCATGCCAGCTGCTGGTCTCCAAAACGTCTTAAGCTATTGGAACTCAAGGTGATTGTCATCCGTTCGGTACCCAGCTGCCATGCCATCCGAAGAGAGCGCGAAGGCCGGGACACTGCCGAGTTGCCCAAGCCTAGATAGCAGAAGTCGATATGCAGAGGTCTTGTTCGAACCATGGGCCCTCTGGTCAATAAATTAGCGTTCTAATTACCGTTGACCATGCTCTCTACTCCGGAGGTTAGGCTTCAATGTCTGACTGGATACATGTATACAGTCGTTTCTGCGCTGTCCATCTATCCACTTCCAAAAAGACTAACAACGGTTAAAATCCTTTGGGCATGGTTTCTGCCAACGCACCAAGGAAGTCGTGGTTTTTCTGTTGAACAACAATGTCAACTTATACGGGTCGGAAATCTCATCATAATCACCATCATCATCATCATCATCATCAAGGACAGCAACATCAGTG